CATTTGACCCTACTCGTCGAGTGCACCCATGCGACTTGTCGAGTCCCCTCGCATCAACCGAACTCTACCTAGGACTCACTCAGCTCGTCGAGTTGACTCCCAACTCGGCGAGCCAACACTAGGTTAAGACTACTCGGTCAAACCCGCTACGACTCGTCGAGTCACCCCTGGACTCGGCGAGTTGGCTCCCACAGATTTCTCATTCAGCCATTTGAGGTCAGATCTGCAACCCAAACTCATAGATCTAACCTCCTACTACCCAAAAGTCACGCAAAGGTCTGAACTTGAGGTTCATGCATGGTGTATTTTGCTCTATACACCATTTTGACTCCATTGAAGCTCCATAGCTTCAAAGCTCCAAGGTTACTCACTCATGGCTGCCTACTTTCTGGATCTCTGGACCTCACAAGGTCCAGATCTACAATTGACTCGAAAAAGGGTTTAGATGCACCCAAAACCCCATCAATAAAGATACAAGCCCAACTTTACAACCAAGGAAATCTACTCAAACACAAGGGAGGCAAGAGTTGTACCAGATCTGAAGCTTGAAATGAAGATGAGACTGATCCACCAACTCTCCTCTGAGATCCTTGCAACTCCCTTGATCTTCTTCTCAAAGAAATACTCCAAGAAATGACCTAAAGTTTAACCCAAGGTCAAACGTCGTCAAAAGTGAAAAAGCCAACCTACTCATTAATGGAAGTGACATGCCCTTGGCACCCAACCCCCACTACAAAAAAAAGTAGTTGGTATTTGACCTCAAATGGAAGGGACTTAAGAAAACTCAAAAAACGGTCCGCGTCCCTGCTGATCCAACACTTAATTGTTGAAATAATCTCTTAAGTCCATGCTTTCAAACTCTCAAATTTGGATCCAAATGGTGTATTAATGGATAAAGTTTCCAACTTTATCTATTAGAACACCCCAAACCGACTATATTTAAAACTCTGTATTCCAAAAAGTCCAAGATCCTATTTTTCTTCAAGCATTGAGTAAAGAGCGCTCTTGCATGCACTCTCTACTCTATTTAAACCTCATATCTGAAGTTGATTATTTCACTTAGATCATGAAGTTATCCAAACTCCATAGATCAAACCATCAAAGAAGCCAAAACATCATTTAAAGAAATAAAACTCCAAATACTCATAGATCAAAAGGTGAAAACCAATAAAGCTTGAATATTTAAGACATATCAAGGTTAAGAAGATGGATGAGGGATGATTTATTCAGTTTCAAATATTTAATTATCAATCTTGCAAGAATACTTCACTCTAGAACCACTAAAACACGCCAAAATGGATGAGAAGAAAGAGGATAAGCTCAAACCTTCAAAGGGAGGTTAGGGTTTCTCAAGCGATGTTCTAGGGTTAATGGAGGCTGAGAAATGACAAACCATTGGAGTTAATGCACCTTAAATAGCTTTAAAACCTTAAAAAGACGTTCATCGCACAGGGTCGGAGGCGCGGCGAGCCCCAGAAGAGGCGTTCCACGCTCTCAACACAATTCAACATATTTTTCGGTTTTTCAGCATATGCGATTAATGGCTTCCTGTTTCGCCCCATCCTACTACTTTTCTTTGGACTATTAAACCCCCAACTAAAGAATGAAAAAACACCATAGGGATTAGGGTGTTAAATATTTATAGGGCTGTAAATTGGTATATATATATATATATATATATATATATATATATATATATATATATATATATATATATTTGAATAGGAAATCTACAGAAAAGACTCAAACATTTGGGAAAAGTTTCAATAAAGTCATAAAAAAAACTGAACATAAAAGTCCTGATTATTTAACATTTTACCCAAATTAATGAAAAAATCATTTTTTTATATTTGAATAGTAAATGACAGATTATGTGATTTTTTCAAAATAATGGAACTTTTCTGTTCAAAAAAAAATTAGGACTTTTTTGAAACTTTTCCCAAAAGTTTGGGACTTTTCTGTAGATTTCTCATATATATATATATATATATATATATATATATATATATATATATTATATATATATATATATATAAAGGTAGGGCTAGGTTATAATGTGAATGATATCTATTGTGTGGACGTAGAGACAATTCTAGACCAATCATTTTCAAATAATATAGAATTTATGTATATCTTGATTTTAGGCAGGTAATTAGTCAAATCCATAAATTTAGGAAACTTATTCAAATCAAGTTAATTATATTAATTTTTATCTATTATCTATAATAATTAAAGAACACTTATATATTCTTTCAAAAATTAAAAACCATGAACCATGCAAAATTCAAAATTTATAATTTTATAAAAGGTAGAGCCAATATTTTTTCCAATGTTTGTCCCCTCCAAAATCAGAATTCTTAATCAAGAGCATTCTTAAAGAATGCTTATAAATATTCTTTAAAATAAATGGTATTTTTAAAATAAGTTTAACAACACATGAAGAATTTTCTAAATTTGAAACAATTCCTATAAGGAAACTCCTCACTCGATGAAACGAAAACAGATGATGAATAATTACAACTACAGAGAAATAATGAAAGAATCAAACCATTCTTATTAGAAATTTACAACAAAAGAACTAGTATTCTTAAAGAATATGTAACATTCTGACAGAATATGATGTATCCTTTAAAAGAATGTGAAGTATTCTTAAAGAATATATAACATATTCTTGATGTATGCCTCCATAAAATGTAAAATGCTTAGCAAAATAAATTGGGTCTTTCTTCAGAATAAACATGAGCTCTTCCATGGTTTATAGAATCAACTTAATCATCTTCTCTTTGAAACAACAGAAAGTTAGTCGATTGCAGCTAACTAGGGCTATAAGATTATGGAAAAACAATAGAAAGTTAGTCGATTGCATAAAAAAATTGTTTATTCTAATTTTATTTTAAATGTTTTGGTTAATCTTATACCAACAAACGAAAAATAAAGGTTTTTTAATTCCTCTTTTTCATATGTCACATACAGTAGTATAATCAAAAACAAAAATACATATAATATGTATTTTTGTTTTTTTGGCGGAAATTGGAAGAAAAAAAAGATACTTATAAGAATTAAATATCATGAAAATGCAAAAATGGCACCAAAGTTTTGATAATCGATCAATGCAAAACCGGAACACGTTCGTTAAATGATGTGGTGATGGTATTGATGGCCGGCGATTAAAGAAAGAGAGAAAACAAAGATAAATAGGGCTATTGATAAAATTAAGGTAACTAGTCTTAATTATAGGGGAATAATAAGGGAATTAGGTAATTAACATTATTAATTATGAAAAATTACTAATATACATTTTATTAAGTTTTTAAAATGATTGTCTCATTTTAGTCCCTACATCCACACAATATTTGTCAATCCACTTTTGAACCTCTCTCTCTCTCTCTCTCTCTATATATATATATATATATATATATATATATATATATATATATATATATATATATATATATATATATTATATATATATATATAGCTAGGTTATTTTGTTTCTTACATTTATTGTGTGCTAGAATGCACCAATAGGAATTTAGTAAATTAAATAATTATTTAATTAAATAAATATAGATATTAAATGATTTCCATAATTATATGTATATTAAATGATATCAATAATTATAATTCTTTTTTTATGGAAACTAATTAAATCCGTTATTAATGTCAGCAATAACATTATTTCAGAATAAATTTGAATCTAGGTTTTTATATATGAGTTCGTATTTTGTTTCGGGACTCACTCACTTAAAATACAATAAAGTTGCATGAAATATGAAGAACGAGAGTGTATTCTACTAGAATACACTCTCATTCTGCTGGAATACACTCTCATTCTTCTAGATATGAATTCATTCTGAAAGAATATTATTGTTGACATTAATGACGAATTTAATTAGTTTCCATAAAAATGAATTATAAGTATGGATAACATTTAATATACATATAATTAATACTAAATTCTTATTGGTGCATTTTAGCACACAATAGATGTGAGAAACATTTGATCGTTAGGCCTTAAAAAAAATTGTTACCATTTTTGACCGTTTAATACATTTCAAAAATAAAAATAAATGAAAATTAAAAAAAAGTCATTGGCCAATAGGAACAAGAGAGAGAACGCAGGATAGGGTAATCGCACCCTATATTCTTCTATCCTAAACCGCACCAAGAGTGTGGTGTTCTTGGGTGAGGTTTACCAAACCGTTGGATGCGTTTCATCCCATATCGTCGTCCATTAGGGTGAAAGCAAAAGGAGCGTAGGTACCCTATTTCGTGTTCTCTCTGTTGTTCCTATTGGCCAATGACCGATTTTTTGTAAGTTCCATTTTTTAAAATAAGGCAATCGGTAAAAAAACGTAATAAGTTTTTTTTTTCCTTTTCTAAGACCTAACAGTCAAAAAAATGCAATTAAGTGTTAACTATCAATTATAAAATAACACATGTCCATTTCTTTTTGAATTACAAAAATTATCCTTGTGATTTGGTCAAAATTACACGTCTAGACCTTAATGATAAGATTAAACATCCCATTCCATACATAGTTTAAAATGACACGTGTCCATTTCTTGAAACTTACTATTAAGTATGTGTTAAATATTGAGCTGGGGAAATTGAAGGGAAGGGGTGGGGATATTTGTTTTTTTCTTTGTTTTTTTTAATTTAAAATTGATAAAGTAATAAAATAAAATGAAAAAATAAATTATTAAGGGTAAAATAGTCATTGCATGTCAATATAGACTAAGCGGACAAGAAAAAACAACCCAATGACGGTTCGAGTTAATTTCTGAAAATAGAAATTAAATGTGCGTTTGGACACATGCACAAGAGACGAATGATATAATTTACCCATAAATATATATATGTGATGTGTTGTCATGTTTTCATTGGTGTCGGTACTTGTTTTCTTAATTATGTATTTTCCATACAACCTCCCATATATATATATATATATATATATATATATATATATATATATATATATATATATATGTTGTATGTAGGGTGTTAGGATCGTATGGGTTTACCACATCACGTCCCTCGTGAATTCCGTTGGTCATATTTGGGGAAACCAAGCTTGGAATACCGGTGATCTCTCAAAAAACAACTGGTATGTGTGTAAATATACGAATGAGCTAATTATACTAGAATCTAACAAAAACGATTGTCCAAATTTTGTGAAGGTGGTTAGGAGTGTTGTTGTTCGGAGAAGGATGGCATAACAATCATCATGCATTTGAGTATTCAGCTCGATATGGATTAGAGTGGTGGCAAATCGATGTTACTTGGTACGTGATACGATGTCTTGAAGCCGTCGGATTAGCAACCAACATCAAAGTGCCAACTGACGCAGAAAAAGTTAAAAAATCATTTGTCATCTCTAATAATACATTTTAAATGATAGATCGGTTTGTGTGCAACATAAAATATACCTTCAAATAAATAAACTCAGGAATATGATTACTTTTCTACGCCGATGAATGTAAAATATGTTAGGGTGTGTTTATTATCAAAAGTCTTTCGTCAATAAACAATCCCCTAATTTATGTATTTTTTTGGTTGAAAACTAATATATAAGTTGAATGTTGATATGTTCTTTAATTTTGACGTATTGTTTCTTTGGTTAAATAAACCGGTTAACTTCATAATAGCCCAACGAACTTCTCTTTTATGGTTTAAAGGGTCCCTCGTGTTAATTTTTGGCACTATAGATGCATAAAGTCCATATTGACCTATTAAAAAAGGTATTAATCTATTTTTATCCGATTTCAGACGTGGCATATATATGATACCATTGTTCTTTGGGAGTAATAAAATCAGCTTCGGAGGGTTGTAAAGTCAAGCCATTACTGAACCTCATAATCTAATCGACTAAGGGTGTGTTTTTTTTTTAACTTAATACACTTAATCTTTACAAAAATTAATGGGTTCAGATATATATATATATATATATATATATATATATATATATATATATATATATATATATATATATATATATATATATATATATCTTAACCCATTAAGTTTTCTAAGGATTAAGTGCATTAAGTTAAAAAAACGCCCTTAGTCGATTAGATTATGAGGTTCAGTACCCCCAAGCTGATTTTATAACTCCCAAAAAACAATGGTATCATATATATATGCCACGTCATTTTATATATATGTTTCTTTCTTACTTAATCTTAAGAATAAGAAAATGTCCTAATAGATTAAGTTAGGAAAATGATAACCTTAACATTTAGTAATAGTTCATATATCTTTTTTAGAAATACCCTTGTAAACATATCAGGTTTCCTGTTTGCCATCTTTGATCTTTGTACTTCTACTTTGTTTTTTTTTTTTGGTTAACATTCTTCTAAAACAATATAATTAATTATTCAATTTATGTAAAACAATTATTCATTGTGATTTATAATGTGATGATGTATATTTTTAATTTCTTTAAAATTTAAAACTTATTTACTGTTATGATTTACATTCTTAATTTATTATGGTTATTAAATTAATGATCATTTTGTTAATTTATATTTTATAATAATTATTAAAGAAATGATAATTTATTATTTTTAAATAGATGGTAAAATAGTCGTTTATTCAGATACAAACAATGCATTCATTCCAAAAAAAAAACAACATTTATATTAGTAACACTTTATCAGTTCAGATATATTATCATTTTAGTACACTTTATAACTTCATGACTTAACCGAAAAAAATGACTCCTAAGGCTTTTGATCATTAATCACTATCACATAATATCTTCAGAATTGCTACATAAATTCAAAGCACATCATGAAGCCAAATTTCCACCGAACAATTCCAGATCCAAATTGATGAAACAAAAATCTCAATCACTTATCATCAATAAGTTACATACAATTCCACTTCACTTTCGTTTAACTTCCGATCCACAAAGCTTTCGAACAGCTAGTAGCCAACAACTTTGACGAATAGCTTCTTCAAATTCACTTCTTCGAACAATCAGATCAGAACTCAAGTTGACGATTTCCATTCATACCTTGATAAACACGAATTTACCATATCTAAATAACTTTTCCGATCAAACAATCATATTTTAATAAAGTTTCATATTCTTCAATTTTTGTTCAGCAGAAATCACAAAATCATCTTCAATTTCCATATACTCGTTTTTTTTTTTCAAATCGATTCACCAATCAACATCAAAGATTACTAGTAACTGAATCTAATCCCAAAACGTTTAGAATTGAATCAACAAAACTATCCTCATGAAGAAATCAATTGATCCAAAAAAATATTATCCGATTAGTTGCAAAAAATGAGAATCGGATGAGATGAAATCGATACTTAATCAATACATGTTTATTATCCAAGAACAAATTTGTTTTCAAGGAGGTACGATTTGAGAAAGATCTGACCAGTACTACAACAATCACATTAGTAATTATCTATAGCATAGTGTCGTTTTCGGCATCCATAATTATCGGCAAGAGCATATTTCTGGTGGAGCTTTAGGAAAGGAAAGATGGGCTTTTGGGTAATTTCTGGCGGAGCTTTCGCGTTGGAGCTTCATTAGGAATGGGATGGGGGATTGTCAAATAGAGTGTTTGTAACGTATATATGTGTGTGTGATTTATATGGATTGGTTGTTATTTTCCGGCAATAGAGAAACATACTTTTCCATTACATTTAGCCATGGGGTTTTAGTTTGAGAAATTTGCAATTTAGCCAAAAAAAAAAAAAAAAAAAAAATTAATTACTTCGTAGAAAATAGCCAAAAATTAGCAAATTACACAAACTAGCCACTAAAATCGCGGGTGCTTAAGGACTATCTGTGATTTCTTTAGTTCACCTGCAAATGTACAACACTTCAATGCACGGATATGCGTCGGCGACATGTACGTTCGTAGATGAAAGTTTATCTATGATTTTGTTCTAGCTCATCTATGATTTTCTCTATTGAAGTATAAATACCCTTTTTAAAAACCCCTCATTTTTCTAGTTACAAAGTTGGGAAAACTCTCTCATACTCTTTGAATCAAGAACGATGGACGAAGCTATGTAATCTCCCGAAAACATGGTAAGATCTCTATTATTTAGTGTTTTAATCACCATTTTGATGGAGAATGGTGCCCATAGTCCCAACAGAGCTAGAACAATTGGTAATATTACTATTAATAGTAGGTTCCTTTTAGATTACACGCAATGACAGAAATAAGCAATAAATGACATGGGAAAACTATAAGGACTTGATTTGTTAATTAATTAATTGTATTTAATTAATAAAATGAAACCTAGAAGTTCTGGAATGTTCTAGAGGATAAAAAGAAGATAATTAAGCAGTCAGATAATTTCCATTTATATGGATAATTATTAGATGACTAGATAATTATCTTGTAGGGTTTTCTATCATTCCCTATAAATAGAGAGGTGTCACACCCCGCTAAAGCGCAAACACAGGACACGACAGTACAAAGGGTCTCATAGCAAAAGTTAAAAGACAACACCAACCATATTATTAAAAGCATTACAATTTACAATGAGTTTGAACACAAAAAAAAAGTTACACTGTATTTGAAAAACAACCCATGCGAATGCTCCTACAAGTGATGTGTCCCTAAGTGTCATCTTATAGATGAGTTCCTGAAAAAGTATGTAAAATGAGCAGTTAACTACTGAAATAGTTGGTGAGTTCACAAAAAATAATAGTATATGAGTCATAATCAGAGTATTAATAAAAGTTTCCATAAATGGAAGATCATTGCTGAAATGAGTAACAAGTTTGCATAAACAGTAGTTCGTTGCTAAAATGAGTAACAAGTGTATAAACAGTAGTTCATTGCTAAACTGAGTAAACAAGTTCATTGCTATAATAAGTAAACAAGTTCATTGCTATAATGAGTAAACAAGTTTGCATAACAAAGTTGGTTGCTATCAGTTGAAATAAAGTATGTTAACATCATGAGAAACAAAGTTTGATGCTAACATGAGAAACAAAGTCCGTTTCTATAATGAGAAATAAAACCCGTTAACGTCATGGGAACCAAACTTCGATGCTAACATAAGAAACAAATTATGTATGTGCATAATGAACAAACCATGAGTTCACAACCCAAGCATAAAGACCGAGGGGTGCCCTATAGAGATCTACGTGTATCGCTCACATAGATAGAAATGGTAAAATGCACTCCACAAACTGTGCACATGAGGATTTGTCTACCTCCTAATAGCGTTATACATAATGACTATAGGCTCAAAAGAGTTAAAGAGTTGTGTGAAATGATACCAGGGACTTAACCGCGATAAGGCATCATGAATTAACATTAGCATACACATACATAGCAAATCACATTTGATATAATTTAAAAATACAACGAACATAATTGAATAACCGGCATGCTTTTCCACCCCAAAATATTAAAAACCGAAAATAGGGGTCGTGAATACTCACAACTATTTCGTGATGATGCTAACGATGTCTTGATCTACGTTCCACCCGTACCACTACCGATTCCTACAATGATGTTACACACTAATGAGTCTCTAATAGAAATCTATTACCAGTATACTTACTACTACAATAAAATTATACCAATATTGTGTCAAAATTTGGTTTTATATAAGTCGGAAACATTTTTCTGTAAAATTCAGATTTCTAAGAGCAAATTTGTCTAGCTACAAATTTAAATGGAAAACCCCATTTTCGCAATGTTAAATGTAATGTAATTACAAAATTTTAGAAGATGTTTCAAAGGTTAAATATTCAAAAATCCAACCAAAATAGGTAAATAATTTCCCAAACTTTATATTTCAGTTTTAACTAAAGTTAAAGATCTTAAGATAAATTTTCTTGATTTTTTGATTTGCCTAACTATTTTTTACTATTTTAATTCCTTGAATAATCATAAAATCATGGAAAAATAGTAAATGATCATGAACATTTCTTGGAAGTTTTGTATAACTGATACAAAGTATCCCTAAACTGGAAAAAATATTAAATACCATTTTTAATCAATAAACCCTGGTTTTTGTAATTAATTTATGTTTTACACCAAGAAATTATAATTAAATAGAAAATTGTAATTAAAAAATCACAAAACTTTTTAGTTGTGTTCCAATTGCAATAAAAGACTTCCAGAAAATGTGTCATGAATTTTAGATATGCATAGCTATTTTTCCCATATTTAACCACTTGAACCCTCACAAATTCATGGAAAAATAGTAAATAGTTAAACCCAATTATCAACCTTTTTATAAAACTTGTATACAATGTATATAATCTGGGAAAATTACGAAAGTGATTTTCAAATAGTAGAGTCTAATGATTGGATTTATGGATTTTTAATCATAGGAAATTGGAAATAAATAGAAAACAGAGTCTAATGTTTGGATTTATGGATTTTTAATCATAGGAA